TCCTTTTCTTTTTTAACAACTATCATTTACATAACACCCATACACACATATTTGTGTGTTTGTTTTTGATGATCTATCCCAAGGGGTATATTCTTGTCTGCCTGTCCCTCCTTCCCCCACTCCCTCGCTCCCTCCTTCCACTAGGCTGGATATGAATCTGTAGCCAAGGCTGGCCTGAGACTTACTAAGTAGCCCAGGCTGGCCTTGAACTCACCATGCAACCCATCCTATCTCTGGCTCTGAAGTGTGGGGATTACAAGTACGAACCACCGTACTGGGTTTTCTCTTTTAAAACTGGCTGCTTCATCGAGTATCCTGAACCGTGCCTGCCCACTTAAACTGTACAGTACACCGGTGGTTATTGTAGTCATAGATTTCCGCAGTGTCACCACTGAGTTTTGAAGATCTTCCATCTTCCCACCAAAGCCCACCTCACCAAGGCTACCGGACACCCGCTTTTGTGTCTGTCGTTTGGTTCTTCTGGAGACTGCTTTTGACCGTGGTCGTGGTACTCCTTCCTTCTTTTATTATCCCGGGCTTTTGAAGTAGCTCTGGTCCTTGTATCAAAGACTGCCTTCGCTACCAGCTCCATGCTTGCCCTTCTTCCTGGAGGTGTGGACAGGGCTGCAGTAGGGTGCCCTGTGCCCAGCCATGGGAAGACTGAGACTGGGCCCTGGGGACCAGGTACCGGAGCTTCAGGAAGAGCCAACCGGAAGGGCGTGGGCCGCACCCCTCCGGAGCCCTGATGGCCAGCTTTGAGTTTGCTCTTCCAGCCAGAGTCCAGTGTTTGTCCACAGAAGAGTAGCTTTTGTTTGCAGTGTTCATGCTTGTGACCTTGAAACTCTGTTTGGATTGGGATGTGTGGGCCGGGGCGCCTTTCCCTCACTTTGAGATGAGCTCTTGCTCAGCTGCCCTTTATTTCTTCAGTTTCTCTTCAACAGTTCTCGGCTCTTTTTCATCTGCCTCTGTAAGACCTTGCTTTTTATCTCATGATTTCTGCCTCACACCAACTTTTTCACTGTGTCTTGGGAGGATTCCTTAAGTTGGTATTCACAAACCTGTTTTCCAGCAGTAGCCTGTCTATGGCTTAATGCCTTTTTGTGTTTTTATTTTTGGCATTCACATTTTGTTTTCTGTTTGTAAGATTTCATTGTATTCCTAGAAATTCTCCCTTGCAAATCGATGTTTTATTTTCTTACTTGCGCTTATTTGAGCCCTTCATGTGTTCAGGGTTTTCCCGATTGTTTATCGCTGCCACCCAAAGAGCCCCTCACGTTTAGTGGCTTAAAGAGCAATTTATGGGCTGAGGAAAAGGTTCCGTGGATAAAGCGAAGACTGGAGTTCAGATCCTCAGATCCGTGTAAAGCCGGATGTGGTGACTCATGGTAGCTGTAATGTGGCTCTCTCAGGTGAGATGGGAGGTGGAGCCGGGAATCCCTGTGGTCTTCTGAGCCAGCTAGTGTGGTGTATGCAGCACTAGACAACAGAGAGACCTGTCCCCAGTGAGGGACAACAGAGAGACCTGCCCCCAGTGAGGGACAACAGAGAGACCTGCCCCCAGTGAGGGACAACCGAGAGACCTGCCCTCAGTGAGGGACAACAGAGAGAGACCTGCCCCCAGTGAGGGACAACAGAGAGACCTGCCCCCAATGAGGTGGAAGGCAAGGCCAGCATATGCATGCCTGCACTCACACACATGAGCATGTACACACACACACACACACACACACACACACACACACACTGAACAATTTGATATTTCCCACGATTTCTGGTTCAATCATATGATTCTTGTATCTGCTGTGGACTGAGTGACTGTGTGCGTACACTGAACTGGTGCCTTAGATGACAGACAAGAGGAGGCCTTTCATATGTTAAAACCTCCATACTTACAAATGGCTTCCTCACTTTAGTTCCCCACATGGCTTCTCCATCCCAATGGCAGTTCCTCCTCAGGGACTTTCCTTGGGGCCTCTCCTAAGCACAATAGCCTAGACTTTCTTATAGCATGGCCACAGAATTCCAAGAAAAAGAAAGAGGAAGCTGCCAGGCTTCTTACAGACCATGTGTGGAGGTTAGAAAGAAAATGGCCTCCAAAGGGGGTGGTACTAATGGGAGGTGTGGCCTTGTTGGAGTGGGTGTGGCCTTGTTGGAGTGGGTGTGGCCTTGTTGGAGGAAGCTGTGGGCTTTGAGGTCTCCTATATGCTCAAGCCGTGCCCAGTGAGACAGTCCATTTCCTGTTGCTTTCTGATCAAGATGTAGCTAGCACCATGTCTGCCTGCACACCGCCATGCTCCCTGCCATGATGATAATGGACTGAACCTCTGACACTGTAAGAGAGCCACCTCAATGAAATGTTTTCCTTGTAAGAGTTGCTGTGGTTATGGTGTCTCTTTGTGAATAGAAACCCTAAGATACTGTGTTTACGGGCTCCATGTTCCCTCTGCTGTATTAGGTCGGCCAAAGGAAGTCTCAAGACATGGCTAGAAAATTCTATTATTAAAAAAATTCATATATATATATGAATATATATATATATATGAATTTGAATGGCATATGAATATATGCCATGTGTATGCAGATACCCCTGGATGCCAAAAGAGGGTGTTGAATTCCCTGGAGCTGGACTTTAAAGGCAGTTGTGAGTGGCCCAGTATGGGTGCTGGGAACCTAACTCAGGTCTCAAAAAGAGTGAAAAGGTGCTCTTAGTCACCGAGCTGTGTCTCCAGCTCCACTCTCCACTTCTTTTAATGTCAGGGATCAAACTACACTCCAACCCTGAAAAACCAGTGACTCCACGCACACACACACACACACACACACACACACACACACACACACACACACACACACACACACACACACTGGGCATATGGGCTGGAAAGCCATGCTTGCCTGTTTCAGCATTTTTTTTAACTCTTCAGTAACTTGTTTTATACTAAGAACTTCAGTTTAGATCTTTCATTTCTTCAGTTTAGATCTTTTATTTGATTTATTATTAATGATTGCCACTTTGGAGATCAAATTCAGGGCATTTGATGTGCATGCCAGGAAAGTGTCCCACCACTTGGTGAACATTTAGTTTTTTTTTTCTTTAATTTTTGAGACAGGATCTCACTATGTACCCTTGGCTGGCCTGGAACTCTGTAGACCAGGCTGGCCTCAAATGCATAGAGATCCTCCTGCCTCTGCCTCCTGAGTACTGGGTTTAAAGGTGTGTGACACTATGTTTGGATTTTTAAAATGTACTTATTTTTATTTCTATGCAGTGTGTGCATGTGTACACGTGTGCACACATGTGCCTGCCTGTGTCTATGTGCACCATGTGTATGTAGTGTCCTCAGAAGCCAGACAGGAGCATCCTTGGTTCCCCTGGAACTAGTTACAGCATTTGTGAGCCACCTGATGTGGAGGCTTAGAACTGAACTCAGGTCCTCTGCAAGAGCCACAAGCATTCTTGACCACCTCCTAGTCTCTCCAGCACTTCTGGTTTTTTAAGACAGCGTCTTGGCATTCTAGCTAGTCCAAGCTGGCCTCAAACTTAGAAACTTCTTGCTCCAGCCTCGTAAGTACTGGGATACTGGCACTCACTACCATGCCCAGCTCATTTTGGACATAAGCTTACTTTAAGAGCATCCTTATTTTACAGGAACCGAAGTTTTTGTTACTGTTTGTTTGTAGTGCTGTAGCTTTTACCCAGGTCCTCATGCACACTAGGTAAAAGCTTCACCACTGGGCTGCATCCCAACCCTACAGGTGGTTTTATTTGAGACAGAATCTCATTTCACGGTCCAGGCTGGCCTAAAACTCATGCCCCCTACCTCAGCCTCACACGTGCTGGAATTACAAGTGCATCATGTGTATGCCCGGTGCCTAGGGAAGCCAGCAGACAGTGTTGAATCCCTGGGACTGGAGCTGGAGATGATTGTGAGCTGCCATGTGGGTGCTGGAAATCGAACCCAGGTCCTCAAGCGGAACAGCCAGTGCTCTTAACTGCTGAGCCATCTCTCCAGCCCTAGTTTTTTAATTTTTAAAGTTAGTTTTTAATGTAGTGTAATATGTGTGCACGTGTATGTGTACATGCACACATGCCACTGCACACAATCGCAGCCAGAGAACAACTTACACAAGCAGCTTCTCTCTTCCTACCACGTGGATCTCAGGGATCAAACTCAAGTTGTTGGGCACCTTTACTGATGAGCCGTTTCGTGGGTCTGCATAGGTTTTTTTTTTTAAGAAGCATGATAGATAGATGCATGCGTGCGTGCGTGCGTGCATGCATGCATGCATGCATGTGTGTGTGTGTGTGTGTGCATGCACATATGTGGGCCTGAGATCAACACTAAGTGTCTTCCCCAGGTTCTCTTCACCTTGGTTTTTGAGACAGGATCTCTCAGCAAACCTGGAGCTAATGATTTGCTAGAATGACTGGCCAGTGAGTCTCACTCATCCTTCGTCTTCGCTCCCCAGGGCTGGGATTATGGGTCTCCAGATATTCCCGGCTTTTATGTGGGTGCTGGGGGCTGAACTCAGTTCTTCATGCCTGTGTGTCAAGGATGTGACTTAAGGGTTTCCCCTGCCATTAAGTGCTTTGTTGAGTGTGTGTGTGTGTGTGTGTGTGTGTGTGTGTGTGTGTGTGTGTGTTGGGCCTTGAAACAAGGACCTTATTTACGTTGGGCAGGCATTCTGCCACCGAGCTACATCCTGAGCCCTCTAATATAGTTTGTTTTTTTGAGTCTCATTTTGGGGAATTTTTTTAACTTGTCAACACACTGACGAGTATTTATTATTGAACATTTCCTATGCTTTCAATGTCTTTGGTATAAAGAATTTACACGAAGAACCTATAAGGAACAAAATAAAATTGCAGTACAATGGCAAACAAGTGTATGCATTTATTGGGGTTGATGGACAGTGTGAAAAGGTGACTGCCACAATGTCCTTCGTTCTTTTCTGTTTTTTTTCCTTCCCCCTTTTCATACTTTGGGATGGGTCCTAAGACATCGATGAGTGTGACGTTCCTGGCCTGTGTAGGCATGGAGGTCAGTGTATCAATACTCCTGGGAGCTTTGAATGCTACTGCATGGAAGGATACTTGGCAAAGAACGGCCCTGAGCCTTTCCACCCAGGCACGGACGGCACATTATGCACAGGTAGGTGTCTGCCAGAGATGCAGCATCTGAAGGTGAGATTTGGTGGGTGCTATCTTCTCTTGTTCCAGTGTTTATAGATCTGTAGTGGAGACATGAGTAGATATCGCTTCCCATATTTTTATGAAATAAAACAAATGGCCTAATCAAGATAGAGTCATGTTAAAAAAAAAAAAGCTAACTTCAAGTGATAATAAACTTTATCAATTCACAGATATTTTGCTATTAACTCTTGCCTGTTAGGTCTGGTAAGAGCCCAACATCTCAAAAGTGACCTTGACAATTAAGGAAGTGCACCTAATTTAAGGGTGCTTGCGATCAGATTTTTACTTCATTGGTAAGGTGTCTCTTTAGTAAGCATGAGTCAGGGTTGATTGCTGATTCTTTCTGTTTTGTGCATGTGTGGATGCTGTTGTGTACGGAGGGCCAGAGGAGCAATAAGGACAACCATTGGAAATGTGCTCAGAAGCCTCATGGAAATGAATCTGTGTTCTTCTTAAAATAGGGCCTGGGGGTGTGAGGCATTGGGTATGAGTAGAGAGATGGTAGATTCTGAAAACTTGTGTTCATAAAGTAAAGAAGTTGGCATGGTTTTGTTTTTTAGAAATAGACTGTGGCACCCCTCCTGAAGTCCCTGGTGGCTACATCACAGGAAATTACAGCTCCACGCTGGGTGGCCAGGTCCATTACAGCTGCAAGGAAGGGTTTCTCAGGGTCTCAGGAGATACAGTTTCACGATGCACAGCCCTGGGCATGTGGGAATCTCCGAAGTTACATTGCCAAGGTGGGTTTTCAAAAGCCTTAGCCTCCTGGTTATAGTGTCCTGAGGTGGTTTTTTTTTTTCAGTTTACCTTCGGGATAGGAAATGTGTTTAATAAATCCAACAGGTCCTATTTGTTTCTGGCAGGTTTTAATTTGGTTCTCTAGTATTTTCCGGGTCTGTATCTTGTCTGTAAACAACGGCCCTACCTTTTGTTCTTCTGCATTTATAAAATTCTGTTTTTCTATTTCAGGGTCTTGACTTGTGTTTCCAGAATGAAAACCTAAATAGTGGGGTTAACATTGAATGTTTTAATCATATTTTTGACTTGTTTGGAAATGATTTTGGTGTTTCAACATGAATTCAGTTTTTATTTTTTATTTTTTTGGTTTTTTGGTTTTTTCGAGACAGGGTTTCTCTGTGTAGCTTTGGTGCCTGTCCTGGATCTCACTCTGTAGACCAGGCTGGCCTCGAACTCACAGAGTTCCTCCTGGCTCTGAGGAGCTCTCAAGGGCTGAGATTAAAGGTGTGCGCCACCACCGCCCGGCATGAATTTAGTTTAAAAAATGTAAAACTACCTTTATTTATGTGTGTATATGTATATATAAGTGTGTGTGTGTGTGTGTGTGTGTGTGTGTGTGTGTGTGTGTGTGCATGCACATAGCATAATGTGTGTGTAGAGGTCAGAAGACAACTTGATGGAGTCAGTCTTCTTCCACCATCTGAGTCCCAGGGATCCAGCTCATTGTCATCAGGCTTGGAAACAAGTGCCTTTTACCCAGTGAGGCATGTCCCTGGCCGTGATCTCAGTTGTTGATGTGTGTGTGTATCTATTTATGTGCATCCCCAGCACAGCCACTGCTCCCAGCCACAAGTAGTCAAGGTGTAATCGATGTAGCACTGTGTGCTAAGTCCATGCTAATCAAATCCCTGAAATTGAGTCATTTGGTGTTTAGAAGATCCCTGTGAATGGACGAGAAGGCTGCCCTCTCCAGGCATCAAGAGGTTAAATTGTTTAAGGTCACACACCAGGGGTAGAAGCCAGAGATGCCAGTTTCAGAGGCTGGGTTTTCAGTTTCTCTGTTATTCGCTTTTCTGTTTACTATTGTAGTTATTTTTCTACTTTTTACTTTTTCTGTCTTCAGTGATCTCCATTTTAACAGTTCTTGGGTTCCATATAATCTTGAGGAAGTGTCCATCCATGTTCCTTTTACTATGTTTTAATCAGACACTAGCTATTTTTTTTATCATGTCTTTTAAGCATGTATAAAGGTAACTACACACATTTTCTCTTAATCAGTAATGTGAGTTTCACTAATACGTCTTTCTGATAATGATTAGTATTGTTAGGATGAATTATTTTGAGGCTTTGGCTTCTTATTTTAATCAGGATTGTATTTGCTAAATATTACTTAGAATTCTTCACTGATACTCAAAGGGTGCCATTTTTGTTATATTTAGTATCAATGACATTCTGAATTTAAAAATACCAAAGCATTTTTCCCTTGCTCTGTAGAATTTTTAAAGATTTGGGAGATTTCATTTGGAAAGCCATCTGGATATGACACTTTTGGGCACATTTTAGCCCCTGAAGTATTTTAAAAACTCCAATCCAAAGGATCATCTCTATGGGCAGCAATCCCAAGTGATTTTTATGTCTTAGATACTTTCTAGATTGAAGGGACTTTTGATATACCAAAAAAAAAAAAAAAGGTAATTAAAAAAAAGGTAATTGTCATAGTTAATACTGATTGTCAATGGACAGGATCTAGAGTCACCAAGGAGACAAGATTGTAGGCATATCTGTGAGGGGTTTTCCTAGGGGTTTTCCTAGGTTAGGGTAATTGAAGAGAGAGGAGCACATTCCATAGGTTGGGGTCCTAGGCTGTCTTCAGAAGGGGAGGACTCACTGAGCATCAGCATCCATCCTCTTTCCTTCCTGGCTATGGATACAGTGTGAGCAGCTGGCCCCCCCCTCCTGCTGCCAGGCCTTCCGCTGGATAGACTGTGTCCCTTCCAACTGTGAGACAAAATAAATCCTCTCTGGATACAGTGTGAGCAGCTGGCCCCTCTCCTGCTGCCAGGCCTTCCTCTGGATAGACTGTGTCCCTTCCAACTGTGAGACAAAATAAATCCTCTCTGTTGACTGTTTTATCACAGCCAGAAAAGCATCGACTACAGCAATGATGGAAAAGGGAAAATCTCAATTTTCTTTGAATTTATTGCACAGCTAAGAAGTTGCGTTGTATGAGACTAAGTTAATCTTGCTACTGTTCTACTTGTTGGGGTTTTAAACACGTGTAGATACTTTCTTACCATCCTCAGAGTGAAGAACTTATAAGAGTTCTCAGATTATCTTTCAATGGATCAATTAAGATAGAACACTTAGAATAAATGTACTTTGGCAACAAAGGAAGCAGTCCATTGAGGGAAGAGAACCTACTGAATGAGAGGAATTACAGAAGATTTGCAGAATGAGTTATTAAAATTAGTCACCTAACAAGGGGTTAGTATCTAGAATATACAAGGAACTGAACTACTCAGTAGAAAAAAATAATTCAGTTAAAGAACAGGCAAATTGGGGCTGGAGAGATGGCTCAGCAGTTAAGAGCATGAAGTACGCTTACAAAGGACCCAAATACAGTTCCCAGTATCCACATGACTCTAGCTCCAGGGAATCCCACAGCATTGTCCCTTGTAGGTACTTGCACAGACACACACCCATATACATAATTTAAAAATAATACAGTAAATGTTTTTAAGAGAATGGGCAAATGATCTAATAGACCTTTCTCAAAAGAATGCATGCAACTATATGGAAAAAAAAGTTCAGTATCACTAATCAGAGAAATGCAAATCGATTTCCACAGTCTTATCCCATTATCTGGCCATTATCTAAAAGACAATAAGGAAAAAATACCAAATGCAGGGAGGGGGGAAGATGGGGGACTCTTGATGGGAACGTCAATTAGTGCGGCCATTATAGAAAACGCTAAGGAGCTTCCTTAGAAACTACAAATAGAACTGCCACATGGGCTAGCTGTCCCACTCCTGGGCACACACCCAAAGGAGATGAAGTCCTCGGATCAGAGACACCTGCACGTGCATTCCCAGCACAGCCACTGCTCCCAGTCACAAGTGGTCAAGGTGCAATCAGTCTTGGTGTCCACCAGTAAATGATCAGTGTTTCTATCCATATGTACAGCGGACTACTAGAGTCATAGGAAGACAGGAATCTTGTCATTTGTACCAACAGGAAATGACCCAGGCACAGAAAGCCAAACACTGCATGATCTCACTTACATGTTGAATCTGAAAAGTTGATCTCGGGCCTGTGAGATGGCTCAGCAGGTAAAGGTGCTTACCACCGAGCCAGACAACCCGATCTCAACCCCCAAGGCCCGCATGGTGGAAAAAGAGAACCTACTTCTGCAAGTAGTCTTCTGACTTCCACATGGGTGTCATGACCACACACACACACACACGCACACACACACACACCCCTATACACACACACACACCTATATGTATATACGTACCTATACACAAACACTTCTGTATATATATACATACACATACACCTGTATATATACACACACACATACACACACACACACACCCCTATACACACACACCTATATGTATATACATACCTATACACAAACACTTCTACACACATACCTATATATACACATACACCTGTATATATACACACACACACCTATACTCACACACCTATACACAAACACTCCTACACACATACCTATACATATACACACCTACACACACACCTATACACACACACCTACACATGCCCCCCACACCCACAACACATACCTACACACACATCTCTATACCCATACCTATATACACACACCTACACACACACACCTATGCACACACATACGCATGCAGACACACACACTAAAAGCCTTGACATAAAAAAGTTTAAGATTAAGCCAGGTGTGGTGGCACATGCCTTTAAACCAGCAGAGCCAGGAGGATCTCTGTGAGTTTAAGGCCAGCCTGGTCTACAGAGTGAGGTGCAGGAGAGCCAGGGCTGTGTAAAGAGATTCTGTCTCAAAACCAATAAACAAACAAAGTTTAACAGTAAAAGAACTTTAAGTTCGTCTCCTAGAAGTAGAAAATCAACAGTGGTCATCAGAGACTGGGAAGTATTCTAGAAGTTCCACAGGATACTGTCTATCCTGTCCTTTGAAGCAGGGTCTCTCACTTTTGTTTTCTTGCTTCAGAACTACTTATTTTTGTTTTTTAAAAATATAACATTGTGGTGGGTGGTGGTGGCGCATGCCTTTAATCCCAGCACCTGGGACACAGAGCCAGGCAGACCTCTGTGAGTTCGAGGCCAGCCTGGTCTACAGAGAGAAATTCAGGACAGGCACCAAAACTACACTGAGAAACCCTGTCTTGAAAAATAAAAAACATAAACAAAAACTATAACATTGTAACTAGTTCTTTGAGAATTTCATGCGATACATTAATCATATTCACCTCCCCACTCCTTTTCCTAACTCCACCTGAGTCCACCCCTCCCCTGCCCACCCCTTTCTGATTTCCTCTTTTTAAAAATAAGCCACTGATCCAATGTGTGCTGCTCATGCACATGGGGCCGGGTCATTCCCTGGAGGGTGGTCGACATACCAGGGGCCATACCCTTAAAGAGAACGGATTCTTCCTCTCCCAGAAGCCCTCAGCTGTCCACAGCGCCTCGGGGCAGAGCTCCAGGAACCTCTTCTAGCTCAGTGCTAGAGTGTTGTCTGGCTTGATCTTGTGCAGGGCGTGTGCAGGTGACCACAGCTGCTGTGAATTCACAGGCAGTAGTCCGGTCGTGTCCAGAGGACACCGTCTGGCCCAGTTGTCATGCTTTCTGCCTGCCTTTCTGCCCTGGTTCCTGAGCCTTGGGCTGGGGCGTACGTGGAGTGTGTGGTGGTGTACTTGTTCCATGTGACCCATTGCTCCAGTAACAGTCTCTCACTTTTACCTGGACCTTCTTGATTTACCTA